AATGGTGTAGGCAAAGGAGAACAGTACATGTAATATTTCCAAATTGCATTCAATAAGGTTAATATGAAAGGTTATAACACAATAGAGGGCTCATGTGTGAGGGAAAACATTTCAGTATTGACAAAGGATTGATTAATGGATGAAAAGTAGCAAGTAAATAAACCGAGGTATTTTCAAGTTGGCAGACTATAACTTTTGGGATAGCACAAGGTATGAAAACACAGCCTGGTTGCATGAGTTCATGTTGTGTTCAGTGACATGCAAAAAAGTGTATGGAAATTTGGAGAAAAATTTGAACTAAACTAATCTCTAAAGTCACCAGTTATGTCCAGAGTAGAAGTGTGTCTTAGCCGCTACCTTTAAAGTGAAATGGATGGAAAAGTTTCCATGAAACTAATTAAAGCAGAGCACAGCGTTTTGAAGGCCAATATATTGCAGCACTATTTTTTAAAATGCTTTTGTGCAATAGTGGTTAATTTGAAAATCAGTGTTTTGGTTGTGAAATGCTTCAGGAAGAGTGCTATGTTCTTTCTTCATAGCACACAAGAATGCTCATGATGAAAAGTGAAAAATAAATAGATATTGGTGCAACAGGGTGCTCTCCAAATGTTGGAGTTAGGTTGATGGCCAACAATTTGCTTTAGTCAAGATGAGCTGGTAACATTGTAATCATAACATAGAATTACTGTTTACTATTTTTAGGAAAATTATAAACATGTAATTTTAGAATGATTTATATTTTCACAGGCAATAGCAAACAAAAGAAGTCTACCCATGCTGTTTATGATGCTGTTACCATATGACAGCAAGAAGAATTCCTTGATTTTACAGAACAAAGCTATTGTATTCAAAACCCCCAATATTAACACACAATCTAAAATTAGTTATAAGAGTACAACAATAATATTACAGCAGATAACCAAACACACAAAACATCAATAGCTGATCAGTCCTGTTAATCATAAGTCTAACTTCATGGGTAAGATGACTTGCTTAGCTACCTCGTTCTGACTGAGGACCCATTAATAACCACATTTTATATCTTTTGTTCAGAAACAGGTACAGTATTATGCTGACAGGACTTCAAATATATTGAAAGGTAAATTATCCGAAGGAGCATCAAGGACATGTCTCCAGGACATCTCAGCAGGAGTTCCTCAGTGTAGTGTCTGAGGCCCAACTATCCTCAGCTGCTTCATCAATGCCCTTCCCTCCATCATAAGGTCAGATGCGGGGATGTTTGTCAATGATTGCACAATGTTCAGCACCATTTGCAACTCCTCAGATAATAAAGTAGTTCATGTTCAAATGCAGCAAGATTTGGATAATATCTAGGCTTGAGCTACATTTGAGCCACACAATACCAGGTGATGACCATTTCCAATAATAGAAAATCTAATCACTGCCCCTTGACATTGAATCCTCCACTATGATAGGGAGTTGCCATTAACGAGAAACTCAACTGGACTCGCCACATAAAAGCAGCTACAAGAGCTGGTCAAAGGCTAGGAATACTGCAAGGTGTAACTCACTTCCTGACTCTCCAAAACCTATCCATCATCTAAAATGCAAAACTCAGGAGTGTGATGGAATACTCCCCACTTGCCTGGATGGGTGCAGCTCCAACATTCAAGGAGCTGAATACCCATCCAAGACAAAGCAGCCTGCTTGATTGGCACCACATCCAGAAGCATCCACACCCTCCAACACCGACACTCAACAGCAGCAGTGTGTACTATCTACAAGAGAAATTCACCAAAAATCCTTAGACAGCATTTTTCAAACCTACAATCAAATACATTATGAAGGACAATGGCAGCAGAAACATGGGAACACTACCTCCTTCAAGTTCCCCTTCAAGCCACTCACCATCCTGACTTGGAAATACATCGCCGAGTTCACCACTATCTTCTCAAGAACAACTATGGATGGGCAATAATTGCTGGCCACCGAAAAATGTTCACATCCAAGTGAAGTTTTTTTTAAAATTACACAGGTCTCTGGATTAATAGTCTAATCAAAATACTACTACACCATTGCCTTCCTGTAAAAGCTGCCTGAAGCTTTCAGTTCCTTTGAAATGTTTTGTTTGGCTTTACAAAGCATGCTGCTGCATTTTGTCAGGTTTTGTACAATAGGTCACAGTAAATAACACCTCATCTCAACTCTTCAGGCCTGGATTCGAAGTTCCAACTAAGACTTCCAAAGTTACTCAAGAACATTACAGTTTCTTACATAATATATTTTCTCACTTAAATTATTTATTTTGAAACATAACAATTCAGCCAACCTCACACACACTGTGAGTAAACAACATTCTGTGATTTAAAAATGTTGAAACATAATATAAAGAAGCCATGCTGGAACTGCATGGAGAGAAATGGGGCTAACATTTCAGGGATAAGGAAGAAACTTACACTTGAAACATTAAGCTGCCTTTATTGATTCTGACTACTGCTGTGCATTCCTAATGTCTTCTGTTCTTATTTTGATCATTGGATCCATTTTGGTAGTCTTCCGCCATTTACTCTCTGAAAGACATTTTCAGCATAATGGAGAGATGGGAGAAGCTGGGATTGTCCTCTTAGAATGGAGAATGTTAAGAAAAACTTCAATACAAGTGTAAACAATCAGGAATATTTTTGGCAGAGTTAATAAGATTTCTAGCAGTAGGATGGAAAGTGACATCAATTTAATGGAATTTCCAAAATATTCAAGCAACCTGCAGAAGGTTTTTGTATGCAGTGAATTGTTGTAATCCAGAATGCATCACCTGAAAAGTAAGTGGCAACAGTTTCCACAGTAAAATGTACACATGACTATTTGTAAATAATGGGGAATAAATTATATGGATATGGGAAAGACCCTGGGAACAGCATTAACTGGATAGCTCTACCAAAAAGTTGGTGTAAGCACAATGGGCTGAACAGAGTCATGTAATAATCCCAACTGAAAAGGAACCCTTTGGCCAATCACATCCATGCTGGAATAAGCTTTTCCTCTGTTTTATCTTTAACCATTCCTTGATATTCAGCCCTGGCATCACAAGCGTACATATATATACTTATTAAATGATATGAGAGTTTCTGCCTCTACCACCCTTACAGGCAGTGAATTCTAGACTCCCCCAACACTCTGAGTGAAAACAGTTTTCCTCCATCCCCTCTAAACCTCCTGCAACTTAAATCTATGCCCCATGGTCATTGATCCCTTTATCAAGGGGAAAGGTTCATGCCTGACTATCCTGTTTGTGGCCCTCATAATTTTATATATCTGAATCATATCCCTACCTCAGTTTATTTTCTTCCAACAAAAACTACTCCAGTCTATCCAATCATTTTTCATAACTGGAGCTCTCCTGCCCAGGCAGCACTCTGGTAAATCTCCTCCGCATCCTCTCCAGTACTAATACATCCCTCCGTCATGTGGATTCCAGAGATGCACTCAATAATCTAGCTGTGGACTAACCAAAATTTTTTATACAATTCCAGCATAACCTCACTGCTCTTAAACTTTATGCCTCAGCTATAAAGGCAAGTATCTCGTATGCCTTCAAAATCACATTATCCATCTAGCCCACTATGTCAAGTGACTGATGTACATGCACACCAAGGCCCTTCTGAATTTCACTGCTTCCCAGGGTCCTACCTTTCATAATGTTCCCCTACCTTTTTGACCTGTCCAAATGCTTCACCTCACACTTATCCAGATTGAATTCCATTTGCCACTGATCAGCCCATCTAGCCAGCCTATACATATCCCCTTGTAATCTAATGATATCCTCCCCACTACTTACCATCCCATTTTTGCATCATCTGGAAACTTATTGACTAACCCTCTTATATTCAAGTCTAAATTGTTTACATGTAACATAAACAGCAAGGGCATCCACACCAATCCTATGGAACCCCACTGGACACACGCTTCCAGTCATAAAAACACCCCTTGACCATTACCCTATGCTTCCAGCCACTCAGCCAACTCTAGATAAAATTTCCTTGGATCCCCAGTGTTTTAAACCTTTGCTGTCAGTCTCCCATGTATGGTCTTATCCATATGTTTGATGACATCCAAGTGGATTACATTAAAAACACTGCCCTCATCTACACACCAGATCACCTCTTCAAAAAATTCAATCATGTTGGTCAGGCAGGACCTCCATCTAACCTCGGAGGAGCAAATTACTGTAGATGCTAGAATCTGTACTGAAAACAAAAAATGCTGGAGATCACAGCAGGTCAGGCAGCATCCACAGAGAGAAAGCAAGCTAATGTTTCGAGTCTAGATGACTCTTCATCAGACCTTCACTTAATCTCTCCTGATTAGACTGTCAGTTCATACATGATATTAGGCTAGTGAACATTGTATGAACTGGGTCAAATTCAAGTATGGATTTCATACTTAGTTTTATATTTCATTCCTTTTAAAATTTAGGCCAACATTCCATTTGCCTTCCCTATTATCTGCTGAATTTGGACGCTAACTATTTGAGATTCATGCTCCCGAATCCCTCTTCTATAAGGGCGAAGTGTAAGCTTCATATTCTTAAATAATACAATTATTTTAAACATTTTATAAAATCATGGCAATTACTAAAAGATGTAATAGCGTTTACTGGATGCAAACGTCCAAAGCTCAGCTCCATCAACTCACTGTCTCATTCAGCCGTGGGAATGACCCAGAAGCTGAAGAATGTAACAAAAGGCGTCGGCCCTGTGATCTCACTTGTTCAGTGCCATGACCAGCAATGAGGCTAACATCTGGCCAGCGTTCACCTATGAAACTGCGGCGACCCCAATGAATCCCTCTTTCTCGCCAGGCCTCTATGTGTGTACAGATGTGTACAAATATATATATATAAAATCATAAACTCAACATGTAGTCAAAATGAACAACTGGCCGCTGTCTCAGCCAGCTTGTTGGTTGGATGATTGACGGGGTGTTGAACCAATAAGAGGTTGAAGTAGCTGGCAGCCCCGGCTTGGAGGTGGGATCAGGGCTGTGCCGAGAAATAGCAGCGAGGGTTGCGGGACTGACTGACTGACAGTGGAAGGAGCTGTGTCTGCATTTACCACTGACTGTCTGAAATCGTGGCAAACTTGGACTTGAGGCAACGATGGTAAGTCCCTCCGAAAATGGAAGGAGAGCAAGCGGCAACAGCAACAAATTGCATGTTAGTGGCGTTTGCCCGTCCTGTGCAGGCTTTCCGGAAAAATGAACTGAAACAAAAATGGGCTGAGGTTATTTTTGTCGGCACTCGGTGGAGTTTTCATCAGATGCGAGTGCCCTGCAATCGGCCGACGGTTCTAATGCAGCGCTTGCTGGGGGTAGGATTGAGGAGGGACAGATCACCATAGTGCTCAAACTGTCTCCATTGTTCGGCTTGGAAAGTCAAAGCGTTGCTATGGTTCGGGTACATGAGAAATTGGCATCTACCCAGAGGAAGCGGCTTGTCAGTGCAGGAAGGAGGAGTTTTGGTGAAACACGGCGCTCGCTTTTGCATCATTATTCACCCCCCCGCCCCCCCCCCCCCCCCGTGTTAGTGCAAATCATAACTGCAAAGGTATCGGAGAGTAATTTTCAAACATCAGTTTTCTTTATTAGTTTCAGTCTGTAAAAGAACTAATAAAACCCAACAGTTTTATTATCTTTCAAACTTTCCTAGCTCTCTCTATCGCAGTTCTTAACCCTTTCTACTTCTTGGGTGAATCTCTTGGTATTTTTCACTGTAAGACCACAATTGAGCGTATATATTTTCAGAGTTTAGCTAAAATATCACTTTACAATTCGATTGTTCGAGGTTCATTGCTCCGATTTAACTTGTTAAAATATAAAGGTACAATCTAGAGCTCCCCAGTTTTAAGTATTCAAATAATTCTTTCGTAGGTAGTCAACATTGTGAAAACAACTTTCTTCATCTGTACATCATATTTATGTACAAGTCTCCTGTAAAATAAGCGGTGCTGATACCCTCGAGGTCAGCTCAGATAGGAGGGAGAACTTGAATTTGGATATATGCAGAACACAGTACAATAACAATTCCTATACAATTTCATTTGGCTCCGTTTAAGTCTGTGTTCCCTAATAGTTTGGGTGTTCTGCAAAGAATTTGAAGTGCTAGTGCATTTGGGTGAAAAATTGGACTAAACTTTAAGGATCAGATTTCTTTAAGCTGCACGATTTATTTGCAGGTTGGAGCAATGTATTCAGTCACCAAGAAGTAAGGTGACACCAGTAACCTTGTTCTGTTGGCAACCATTACAGTTCCTCCATATTAGAATAGATGCAATTTGATTTGTATTATGGAATTGCAATGGATGTAAATGATACAGTTGTCACGAAGGTATAAATTACCTAAAGCAGTGTTTTTCATTATGCATTTTGTAATATTCTCAATATTTCTTAAAGCTCTTCTGCTTCGACTATATATACTTGAGATCTTTAAAACTATGTCACAGTGATTAGGAGTTTGAATTTATTTTTGTGTACTCTAGAAAATGTTTTTGTTTTGCATGGCACCATGCCATGCTGCTGGTGAGCTGCCAAGTTTAAGTCAAGCAATTTCTTAGTAGGAGAGGAAAGGGAAACCTGAATGATTCAGTATTCTTTGTCACATTGTCACATTGGCACATAGCCTAATAACAAGTTATGGAGTGATAATGCCTTCAGAAAGCTCTTCATTTGCCGTCTCAGCTGAATGATCGATGAAATGTGCAAAGTCAAAAATGAAAATGCAACTGTCAAGTGTATCTGGTTTTGAGTTAATTTCAAAGAATGCCTTGAATGATGTGTTTAAATTATTTTGGTGCACCATTTTCTCATTAGTGTGAACAGCCAGTCTTCTCCCGGGCTGCTGGTGTTCTGTAACGACTCTAAGAAGGTGTATGATGTAGTGATAAGCTGTTAGTTATTCCTTAAAATAACCACCCTGTGATTAGTGCTCATTTTCTCCCCTGGTATAAATTTGAGGTTGCTCAAAACTGTTACCAAAGTGCTAATTTGCACTATTCCCCATTCACTTCAAGACCCCAGGCTCATTGATCTACATTGACTGCTGGTTAAGCTACGCCTTGATTTTAAGTTGTCATCTGTAGCCTTTGACATAGTTGTCCATATCACCTTCTCAAATACCTCCCCACTGATGTCCAGCTTGCTGAAAATGCACCTGTCTGATTCCATTCTTATCCATCTAATCACAGCCTGTAACAAAGTTTTCTCTTCCTTCTCTGCACTGTTACCTCTGATGTGCCCCTTGGATTGATCCATAAGTTCCTCCAGCTTCCGGTTTAGGTGTTGCTCATCAGCAGCATCATTATTGGTTTTCATTGTACATTGATAGCACCAAGTTCTACCTTACCACCATCCCTCTCTACTGATCCACTCTTGATAAATTATCAGACTTTCTTCATGGCATTCAATTGTGTGGATGAGTCAACGTTTCTTCCAATTAAATATTATGAAAACTGAAGTAATTGCTTTTGTTCTCTGCTCCAAATTCTGTTACTTAAGACCCAACTCCATCCCTTTCCTTGGCAACAGTCAGAGACTAAACCAGACCATTATCAATTGTGTTTCTGTGAGCCATTCTTTCTTCAGGTAAACAATTAACTGTATGGAGATATTCATGACAGTCTGGAATCCATGTTATAGGAGAAATGTGATTGCATTGGAAAGGGTGCAAAGGAGGTTCACCAGGATGTGCCTGGGCTGGAGAGTATCAGTTATGAAGAGAGATTGGAAAGAGTGGGGTTGTTTTCCTTGGAGCAGAGGAGACTAGGGGAGAACATGATTGACATGTATAAAATTGTGAGCGGCATAGATAGGGTAGACAGAAAGAAAGTTTCCACCTTGATGGAGGGATCAGTGACTGGGGGGCATAGATTTAAGGTAAGGGACAGAAGGTTTATAGGGGATGTGAGGACATATGTTTTCACCCAGAGGATGATGGGAATCTGAAACTTGCTGTCTGTTAGGGTGGTAGAAGCAGAAACCTTCATCACAACATTTAACAAGTATTTAGATGTGCACTTGCGATGCCAAGGCATTTAAGGCAATGGGCTCAGTACTGGAAAATGGGATTAGAATAGTTAAGTGGCTTTTGACTGTTGTGGAAAGAACGGGATGAAGGGCTCTCTATTATCCATGACTATGATTAACGAGGATGTTTACTTTAGGAGCTAGTGTCAGTATGGTATAAAAATGGCTAGATTGAGCTTGGATTTGAGTAACATCTATTATTTATTCATAATTTGATGCCAATATAACTTTTATAAATAAAAGTTAAATAGTAGAGAGCCTTTTATTTCAACTTGTTATGTGTATATCTGATCTACTTTGTCAATTAATGTGGAAGTGTGTGATTTATTTCTGTAACTTGTGTACAGAGTAAGGATTCTCCATTGCTATCCTTGTTTGCATGTATCTGATTTGCACAAGCATTGGACACAGAAAAGAACAATTTGGAACATGAAGATTGCAGTCAAGCTATGAGACTGCTTCCTCCATGTCATTTTGTGTCCTTAAAGTTGCTTCTTCCTAATCATAGCTTTGGTCATTTTCCCTAATGTCTCTTTCTTTGCCTTGGCATTTATTTTTGTTTACTTGATCATGCTCCTGTGAAGTGCCTTGGAATTCTTTACTAAGTTGAAGGCACAATTTAAGTACACAAGCAAATTGTTGACACTAAACATGGAAACCCATCCAATCTAATAACCTAAAAACATGGCTTTAATAGACAAAATTGCTTTAGTTACCTGAAATTTTCTTTGGTCCCTTTCTATGTGTAAGGCTGATATGTTTTCTGAAATGTTCTTGTGATGAAGGTAATGACTAACAGCAACAGCTCTGAAACTAGAAATGGTACAGTTTCAACAATATCAACCTTTGTAAAATTTATTATTTTTAATCTGTTACTAAATGTAGATATTGCTGGCAATGCTCGTTCATTCCTTCCTGAACAGAACATAAATAAAGATTATCAAAGTATCCATTGACAGACATATAAGGCACAAATGGTTTTTTTGGCCTGCATCATATTTTGTTACAGATATTGAACACTTAAACTGTGCAGCATATATGTTTACTGTGCAGCATATTTGTTACAGAGGTGTAGATGATATGATATTCTGAGCGTATTTAGGTATATTTTAAAGATTTTGAAATCAAAACAAAAATTTTGCTATATGAATTGTTTTGATAATGTGTTCAACTTGAGTGATTTCTACTTCCTAGCAAGTATTAGTACTCTACACATAAATTGCTAATCATATTGAAAGTTCAAAATATTTTGAAAATCTGCAGTGATTTTATCACATATGTTGCTCAAAACAATCACTATTTTAAAGGCAGCAATCAAGTTTGTATGCTTTTAAAATTGGAGGGTTCGTTTAATTATTTCTAATTATTCTCAGCAGCAGAATGCCACGGCTTAAATGAAAGGGACGGAAGAAAGGAAATGTTTTATCTGCAACAGTTCAATCAGTTGCTTTATTTCTCCAGGTTTTGACTTTAAGATGGAATCTATAACATTGTTAGTAATGGGAAATAGTACTTCTAGGATAATGGAAGGAAATAAGATTGTATGAAAGATGGCAAATACTGCAAAAACCTTTGGGTTTTGTATTGTTTGTCTCCCTGATTTAAGTCATTCTTCAAATGAGAATGAGTCTTATTTTTGGCCATTCCCAAGTCTGCTGATGAGGCTATTATCATTCGATGTGAGTGTTTTTCTTTATGACTTTGTGGTGCAAAATTTGAAATACAGTCGCATGTCTGACGGCCAGGAGGTTGGCAGATGCTAACAGAAATACATACGTCTGTTGCACATTCTGTATTAAAAGCAGGAATTTGCAGGTGAATCTCAGCAGGTTCGGCAAATTTATGGAAAGAGGAATAGAGTTAACTTTTAGGGTTGAATATGAAGAAAGGGAGTCACATTTCTGAATTGTAATGACAAGATGAATGCCTGGTTGAAGTCCTCATTTGGCCCACTGACAGCGAGCCATCTGATACCAATCATCCTGTCCCTGATAAGATTGTGTTGGGGACGGAAATGGGCAGGTTGGCAGCAGACAAGCTGTCCACTGTATTTTAGTTGCACCTCCCTCAACTTTTGGACCC